TCCCATGGTGTACCAATTTGAACTGAGTCTTTAGGCATTTTGTGGGTTCATAACATTCAGGCAACTAATGACAGAAATGACAGTGACACAAAGTATCTAAAGGTACTAGTTTATCTGAATGACAGAGCTATGTTTGGGAGGACTTTGATGAAGCACAAATATCAGCTCCCAAATTTTTAGATCATCTGGAAAATACAGGCTGGAAATTATGCCTTGATAAATGGCAATTCCCTCTGTCAATAAACTGTAATAGATGTACAATACTGTAACGGGATAGACACGGCTCTTGAAAAATCTCTACTTTCATAAACTGGCTAAAGCCCCCAAATTTTAGGATATTAGAGAAATTCTTTCGATTTCAAAAGAGTAAAATCCTTCAATGATATGGGCCCTTCCGTGATACGCGCAGAAACTTTACAACAACCCTCAGGAAAGGCAAGAAGTTTAAGTGGTCCGAGAACAAAATGGTGGCCGAGGACTTCCAACCCTCTAACCTTTGTGGTGACCAGTAATAAGAAGTGCAAAGAAGTACTAAAAAGCACTGGACTGCTTACATTGCATTTCTGTTCCAGCAACTGCTGACTCTGGTAAGCACTTTAAAATTCTTATGCCAGTTTTCAGAACAGTGGAGATGTACCAAATCAAGGAAAGGAAACCTACATCCCTGTGAAATTTTAAGTCTCAAATTAGAATTTCTGGAGCTAAAGTGAACAGTCTAAAACATATGTGGATAGTATAAGTTTTCAGGTGTGAACTGAAAAGAATTAACTTACCATTGAGCTTTCCAATATCAGCCTAGGTGAAGCTAAGGAAAGATGCATGTCATAAAACTAACACTTCTTTACTAAGATTTGAACTTGTGACGTTTAAAATATAGAGAGAAATAAGGTGTATAACAACAATGTAAAGACAGGAAGGGGTTAAATCAAATTAAGTATTCCAAGACTCTATTTTTGTTAAGAAATGGCAAAAATAATCATTTATGTTAGAGTGTAATAAGTCAAGGATGCATGTTGTAATCCCTATGGTAACCACTAAAATAATAGTAAAATAACACATAATTAACCAATTAATTTTTTAAAGGATAGGGTAAAATAATTTAAAATATCTGATTAGTCCAAAAGAATGCAAGAAGGAAATAAAGACGAACATAAAAACAGATAAGTCAAACAGAAAACTAAGTGAGATGATAGACACAAACCCAGATTTATCTGTAGCTCCATGATCTGTAAATTGACTAAATCTCCAATCAAGATACAGAAGGACACTACACTGGATTTTTAAAATCCTATACCTATAACAGACATATTTTAACTACCAATTCACAGAAAGATTGAAAGCGGCAGGTCAGAAAAAGATATACTATGCAAACACTCACCCCAAAAATGTTTGTGTAACTAGACTAATATCAGATGAAGAATACAGAAAGACGAAAAATATTACCAGAGGAAAAGTGAACATTTCATATGGTAAAGATCCACTCAGAAGATATAACAAACTTAAACACATGTATACCATAACATCGCTTAAAATATATGAAGCAAAAATTGACAAAATCAAAAACAGAAGCAGACAGATCCAAAATCACAGAGACTTTAACATACCTCTCTTGCTCACTGACAGAACAAACATTCAAGAAATCAGTAAGGCTCATAGAACATAATTAACAAATTTAACCTCATTAATATACATAACAGATATACAGAATATTGCACTCAACAATGGCATAAAACAATCTTTTCAAGTATATGTGGAACATCTGGCAAAACTGAACACTTGTCGAATTGTGAAGCAAGAATATCTGTTTGCTAGGGCTGCCATAACAAAGTACCACAAACTGGGTGGCTTAAACAACATAAATTTATTCTGTTAGTTGTGGCTAACAGTCTGAGATCAAGGTGTCGGCAGGATTGATTCCTTCTGTGGTCTGTGAGGGAGAAATTTGTTACACTCCTCTCTCCTAGCTTTGCTGGCGATCTTTGGTGTTCCTTGGCTTGTAGATGCATCACCCCAATCCTCTGCCTTCATCTTTCCATGGTGTTCTCCTGGTATGTTTCTGTGTCTGTGTCCCAGTTTCCCCTTTTTTATAAGGACACAGTCATATTGGATTAGGGCTGCCCCCCCCCCCCACGCAATGACCTCATCTTAACTTGGAAATCTGCTACGACCCTATTTCCAAATAAGGTCACATTCACAGGTACTGAAGATTAGGAGTCTGACACCTTTTGGGAGGCACAATTCAACCCACAACAGCAAACCTCAACAAATCTGAAATGATAGAAATTACTCAGCACACTAACCATAGTGAAATTATGCTATAAATCAATGTGAAAATATCTACCAGAAATTCTCCAAATGCTTGGAAATTAAGTAGCAATATGTCTAGTGACCCATTGGTGAAAGCAGAAAACACAAATGAAATTAGAAACTATTCTGGGCTACATGGTAACATCAAAACTTGAAAACACAGCTAAAGCAGTGCTTAAAGAAGACTCTAAACCTTAAATGTGTATGTTACTTAAAAAGCAAAGCTGAAAATCAATTATTAAAGCATTAAACTCTACAGATTAGGAAAAAAAAGAGCAAATTAAACCTAAAAGAATAAAAGGAATTTCTAAAGATAAGATTAGACATTAATGACATAGAAAACAATCCTACAAAGGAAAACAAAAAAGCCAAAATGTTTTTGGAAAAAAAATGTAATAAGATTCACAGACCTCTAGCAACACTCAATGGGAAAAAAGGCACAAATTACCAGTATCATGATTATTAAAGGAGATGCTGCTAGAGTTCCTACAAATATCAAAGTATGTTATAAATGAGTTCATATCAATAAGTTTTAATTTTTAGATGACATGAAAAATTCCTTGAAAAGCAAAAGTTATCAAAACTGAAACAAGAAAAAGAAAATCTGCTATCTCCTAAACAAATTGAACTGTTAATTCGAAACCTCCCCACAAAGAACTCTCTAGGACAAGATGACTTCACTGGTAGATTCTTCCAAATATTTTAGAAATAATACTAATACACAATTGCTTCCAGAAAATAGAAAAGGTGGAAACATTTTTCAGCTTGTGAGTTATAAAACCTAATAAGGTCACTACCATGACAACAGTAAAGACCTATAAGCCAATCTCTCATGAACACAAACGCAAAAAATTTTTTTAAAAAAAGCCAATAAAAGCTAGCCATATGTATGTGTGTGTATGAGCAGTCCTCACTTTGCACAGTAGTATGGGACCTTAAAAATGACCATGCAAGTTGAAACCATGCAAAGTGATTTAATAATCAATGGAACAATTACAATTGTTCCAGAGGCCTTAAAATTTTTGTCAAAACATTAAAAACTCTCTTACTCTTAGTTCTAAGCATATACGGAAATGAAACATAGTAAAGGTAATATTTATTTAGTATACTGTAATTTAACATTGAGAATTATAGTGCTTTCTTTGTTAAAAAAAATGTTATCAAGCATAGTTCAAATAGTGCTTGCCTTCTTGTATGTTTATGATACAAAGTAAGATTTTTTTCTATGCCTTGGTGAAGGCAGAATTCATCTAAAGTCTCTGGAACAATGGTCGTGTCAACATTCCCACAGTCAGCTATTGCTTCTACAATTCTATTCATATTCAACTCAAATTTCACTTTCAGTGTTAACACTTCTTGTTTCTTTTTGGCACTTTCATCTTTGTTGTGCAATTCCGTCTTTCAATTTTCATTCAATTTTTTTTTCAATTAAAAAGTGTAATGTCACATGATTTTATCACTGGGAATAAGGAAGCAACACAACTACAGAAGGCTCTCCTGACCCTGCATGACCTGAGTAACAGGTGCCCAGGGACCAATCACTGACAGACTGAAAAAAGGGATGTGACTGGTCAGTGATCACAACATGCATGTTATTTACATAACGATCTGTAGACTAAAAAGTTTGCTGCAAAGCTGGTACTTTACATAATTCTTCTCAGTTACTATATGTGGTAACTGAAATTTGAACTGTTGTTGGGAGACTGCTTTTATGTAACTAAATTATGTTCATGGAAATTCGTACTTATTAGAACCATGCAAAGTGAAGAGGGCCTGTATACTGAAATCGTACTGACTCCACGTCCCTGATAGAAAGGAAGAAAAGAGTAAACTCCACACTGGGCTCCAAGTTATATTGGCCCATCTGGTCAGTTAAGTTTTATTAGATTATGCAGGCCCAATTAGTTCTTTTCACTAATTCCCCGGGACGCAAAGAAAGGCACTCTGAGAGCACTAGGGAGGCTGGTGCCCAGCTTCTAATCCAGCGTGTTCCATTCATCATCAAATGCACATGCTGTGCCTTCCAATTATACTGATGGCTTATAAAAACGTTTTTTTCCCCTTCTTGTGTGTGATTTTTTTAAGAAAAAAAATGCACTTTGTACCATTTTAGGATTAAAATTTCCTATAGAGAAAACCACCTTCCATTTAATTATGAAAATTAACAGGAAAATATCTTCAATTCCAAAAGTTTGCTTTAGGGCTAACTTTTCATAAGCACACTTACACTCACTCAGGTCAGTAAGCTAACAGGACAATCTCATCTGCCTCTCGCCCGCACATTACCTCTCGCTGCCGCTCCCCACTCACAGGGATAACTGTGCTTCCTTCTTTCCCTCTTCCAGAAGCCTGTGGATGAGCACAGGACTCATGTGACTGTAACCTGAGCAGAGGGGTCCCTCTGGGAGCACCGCCGCGCCCGAGGCCAGTGCTGGGCCCCCCAGAGGCTGTTCGAGGAGAAAAGCACAAGCAGGGTCCAACCACCTAAAAAGTGCGTATTTCTTTCTATCTAACCATGGAAAAAGCTCTAACAGAGACCTTAAAACTGATCTTCAAATGCGACTGACAACCTCAGGGGACCCTAAGAGACAAAGATGGGACAAAGGAGAGGAGTGGGTACAACACAGCTAGAGGGTTCTGTCAGCGGAAATGAAAATAGAGGCTGGGTAATAAAATAGTCTAACCTGGTTGGGTTTTTTCTTTTCCTTTGTGCTTCCTCCAGTTGCGCCGGCTCTCAGGGTGCCACCTGCAGAGGGCTCACAGCAGGCACCTGAGAGGAGAGCTCGCGGTGAGCAACGGGTGCGTGGACCCCTCAGCTCGCCGGCCTGTGCAGAGCGCCGCGCGCCCTCTGCGGGGCAAGATGGCGGCGGTGGCGGC